CCTCTTAGCAGTCACTGCAGAGTGTGACAATATTTACAGTAGGTTAGCCCATGTAAGTTCATTGCTAATCTGAAGGGTACCTTTGGGTGTGGTTTAAAAATAGTTCTTTAAGTATAATACATGTCACTGGCCTGACACTCCATCATGCTACCATATATCTGACATAAAGGAGTTAGGGAAGGGGTAGACACATTTTGGCTCACACTTTAGTGGTTTCAATCCATCACAGTAGGGATGTGTACCTCTGTTGGCTCCCATTTTTCTCAAGTCTTATTACACCCAGGCCCTGAGCTGGTACTGTCTACATTCAGAACAGGTCATTCCTCACTTAATCATCTCTGGAAATAAATGTAGAGAAACACAGAAAGATGTTCTTTGCTAGTCTCTTGTATCTTTCTCTCTAGTCAGGTTAACAGTGAGCATTAGCCATCAATCCTCTTATGAAGGTCCAGTGAATGCTCTGTAATTTCCCATTTACAACAGGATTCCAGTGTGTATACCTAGTCGAGTTCAGGTTACTCTGGCACATTACTGTTATTCAGTGGTGGTCTTCTATAGCTTCGGGTGCATTCTTGAAGTGTGTCTTAAGCTATACCCTTTGATATTTTTCTCATATAATTTTATTTATTGAGAGTATACGTATTTTTGACAAGGAATAATTCCATTGCTGTTCTGATTTGTTTATCTTTTTACTTGAACTGTGAGGACAGATAGACCTGCATGGCACACATTATCCCTGTCATTGTGACTCCCAGATCATTATGTCTGTATTTCAGAAGGGTCGAAGATGTACAATAAAAGAAAATGTGGTGGTAGGTGTTCCTGTTGATAAGACTTTAAGAAGGTTGCCTTTTCTTTGTCCTGGTGATGGCAGCACTTAGGGGATCATCTTAAGAACACTGAGCAGGTACCTGCTTTGCTTTCTGTTTTAAGCTTTCAACACCAGCCCTGCCACATCAAAGGCTTTCAGACACCCATATTGTGACTAAGTCATTGTGACATCACCAAGTTCCTAGTGCCATCATTTTGTGCCATCCCTGAACCATACCACTGCTAAGAGTGCACAGCGATGCCAAAATGTTTGAGCCATGGAGATCTTCCAAAGAATATTCGTGGGAAGGTAAAGTTCCTATCAGCACATATGTCTTACCCATGTCCCTGCATTCTGTTGAATTGACTTAAGTGTATCTTTTGTTGTGAAATACCTTTAAACTTTGTCTGAAGAGAGACAAACCTATAGAGCTAAATGTGCATATGCTCATGTTTAATCTAGTGACCAATACAGAGTTAAAACATCAGAGTATTGTCTTGGGGTTTGTAGAACTTGATTTCCTTTTTTCTTTGATTCTTTTGATTATGGGAGACTAGATTTCCATAATGATCCACTTTAGCATATTCTGTCATGTTTTCAATCCCAATCATGTTGTACCAAACCTAGCACAATCTTGGAACTAATAGCATAGATTTCTTCCAGGAATAGCAAGCACTTGTGGGGAAAGACTTCATATTCATCTTTCCCTCAAGAAATGATTCTACCTTAACAGCAAATAATGTTGTAATCCTCTTTGTTTTTATTTGTTCATTTACAATGACTCTGTGTCTGAACTTGTATTTCTTTGCAGTCAGTTTACTGCTTTCTCTTAAGCAAAGTGTGACTCTCCATCCTCCACAGCCATTAGCTTAGCCAATGTATTCTCAGCTTATTTAAGTTTCAGGATTCATATCGTGTGACTTTTCCTCCCAGCATCCCATTAACTGTTTCTAAGCGATGTGCCACTGAAGTGCTGTGGCCATGTTCCTTGCTTAGTTATTCTTCCCAGTGGATCTCAAGATATCGATTGTGTGTGCAGTTGGGGAGATTTGTGATGGTTGCTTATAGTTTGATGCTTTCAGGTCTTTGAAGATGATGCCCTTGTAGGCCTTTAGAGTTATGCTTCCGACATTTGGTGTGTACTTGTAAGTTCTCCGGTGTTATACCTCTGCTCAGCCTTTATTTAAGTGGAGAACAGCTCTTCAAGATCATCAGATTTGTTCATTGTTCCTATGTTCACGATAGGACTCAGCAATAAATACACTTGGAATATTGGATTTTCTTAGTGGTTTTAAAATAGCCTTATGGCACATACTCATTGCATTTGTTTAGATAGATAGGACAATCTAAAAAAATTTTTTTGTTGTGCTGTTATTTTAATAACCATGTTGGAAAATATACTTTGAATGGAAGGAAAAGCAGGTATTAGTATATCAAGGATTTAGGAAGTAACTTCTCTGCTATCTATAGATGTTCAAGTTGTTAAAATAAAACTTGAAATTGTAAACTATCATTATTTAATACTTTCCTCTTTAAAATCCTGTATCAGGCTGGATGTTGTGGGGCACACTTTTAATCCCAGGACACATGCCCCTTAAAGGACTGGCATGTTCTTTGAACTTTGTTTTAAATTATATTGAAAGCTACTAGGGGCTAATATTCTAATTTAAAAAATGCTTTTTTAAGAGTATGAACCAGGTTGGAGAAATGGCTCAGCAGTTAAGAGCACTGACTGCTCTTCCAGAGGTCCTGAGTTCAATTCCCAGCAAGTACATGGTGGCTCACAACCATCTGTAATGGAATCTGATGCCCATTTCTGGTGTGTCTGAAGACAGCTACAGTATAGTCATATATTTTATATATATATATTCTTTTTTAAAAAGAGTATGAACCATGTGGTGGTGACATACACAAGCAGGCAAATTGAGGACAGCCAATAGAGAGAAACCCTGTCTCGAAAAACAAAAAATTCCAGATCAGTTAATGTTTTCCTCTCATAGTTTAAGATACTCATATTTGTATTTAAGTTTTCTAGGATTACAGAAGTAAGAACTGTTCATTGTGTATAGCAAGGAATAGTCCAGATAAGAACTGTAGCCCTCAATGTGCATCATAGCTACTGCTAGTATTTCAGCAGGCTTTATACGTCTTTGCACATTTTTATAGCATGCACTCAATTTAGTTCCTTCTCTGTTCTCTCAGTCCTTAAAGTAAGGAACCATCTCCACTTACTCTTGTTATTTATTCCCCACCACACATTACGCACACAGTTGATATTTTGATTATTTAAGTTATTTTCTAAAATGTCAGCTTTTTATGATTCCTAATCCCTGATCATGTGCCTGGGTCAAAATCTCTGATTTTATTTTTTGCTAAAATCTTTGTAATTACTTTTCTGTTGTTGGGCCTTATCTTATTTGCTTAAACTCCGTTCTTCCTTTGTTGTTGATTTGCATAATTCTTTTATGAATATCATATATCTTAGATAAATGAAATTTTTGATTTTAATAGCTGCTACAGTTAAATGCTTAAAAGTAAACGTGTTTATCAATAAGAGTAACGGCAATATTTATAAACATATCTGTTCTGGTTTCCTTCTGTTGCTGTGATTAAAACACTGACTGAAAGCAACTTAGAGGAGGAAAGGGTTCATTTCATCTTACACTTTCAGGTGACAGTCCATCTTTGAGAGAAGTCAATGTAAGAACCTGGAGGCAGGCTGCTTGCTCTTCTGACCTGAGAACGCACTCAAAGCCAAGGAGATTGCAGCAGAAACCGTGGACAGAGGCTGCTTGCTGGCTCAGTTGCAGGCTCATGCTAAGCTAACTTTCACATGTAGCCTAGGGACCACTTGTATAGGGGGCGTTACAAGATGGTTCTGCCCACAGCAGGCTGCACCCTCCCTATCAGTTAATAGTCAACACATGCTCACAGGCCAATCTGACCTAGGTAGTCTCTTATCAAGGTTTGCCTCTGAGGTGTCTCTATACTCTTTCAAGTTGACATCCAAGTAAGTGTTTTATACATTTAAATATGCTTAGTTTATATTTAAAGTTACAGTTTTTGTAGTGAGTTGGATTTTTGCATCCATATCTAAATGTCTGTATTTCTGTCTATTGCTAAATATCTGTTTATTTTCAACATGCTGCAGGATATTGAAGACAAAGTAAGTAACAACAACAAACCTACAATGAGCAAATAGATTGATAGAAACTAAACAGAAACTTGATTGAACAGTTACTGTGGTATAGAGTGAGCCAGGCCACACATGATCACTTTGCAAAGGAATATGAAACATGTACAAAGATGAAAATGCCAAGATACATTGATTTCTTCTAAGTAGCAGTCATACATCTATTTAACCTTCACTGAACACACAAATGTTACTATAATAACTTTGTTACTATGAGGTAATATTATAAAGAGATTGTTTCTGTTTCATTAACAAAGATCAGTTTAGCATAATTCAGGATAACAATAATTTTAAAAATGTGTTTGCATTTTAACTAACTTTGAGACATCCACAAGTAGATATCTTCTTTTGTTTTATGAAGAATTGAGTATTATTGCTTTTTTTAAAGTTTATAAAATATGATCTTGTAAAATTAATATTATGACTAAATGTCTTGTTACTTTATTATACTTATTATCCTTAAATTTTCAAATATGAATAAACAAGGCTGCTTAATAAAGTAGGCTGGTACTTTGTTTATAGGAAAATCAAATAAATATATGTAACTTCATACTGGTTGCACTGATCATTCAAGGGTTCTTGAATATAAGTTTTATATAGACGTTTGTGGTTATTTGTTCAGGGTTAGCAAACATGTATCTAATTCTAAGAATCAGCAGAAGTTTCATTGTGCATATTATTAATTCTTAAAATTACTCCTTGAATAAGAAGTTAAATAAGACAGTCTTCTGTACTCTGTATTCTGACATTTCCAAATACATTTGGACAAAGTAGGTCACAGCTGTTACAGTAAGAAAAACACAATGCAGTTTCATTCTTTGCACACACAAATGCAGCAATCATTGTCATATTAATGTTTTCTATGACAGAGACCTAGTGGACCGCAGCGACCGTCAGCTTTGTATGTGTCTCTGGTACAGTTTCTGCGTGAGTTTTCCTTCATGCTTGCTGCTTTCACTTTCTCTCAGTTTAGTATACTCCTTGTGTCTTTTTTAGGCTCGGCAGCTGGAAGAGAAAGACCGGGTGATGCGGAAGCAGGATGCGTTCTACAAAGAACAGCTGGCGAGACTGGAGGAGAGGGTATGGCTATTTCTTGTTGCTGCTTCTCTTCTCTCACTCTTATCTGTGGCTGCCCATATATTTGTTTAGAAACCACAAATTAGCACCAATGTTTTTTCCTAATTAAGTGAAGTCATAACTAGACAATGACCTAGTTAAAAAGGTAGGTCATTGTCTCTGAGAACTTCATTTTGTGTGCTATTGGTTTGTGGGTTTTCTGTACCTGAGAAATAATTCCCTCATATAATTTACCCTAAATAATTTGTTTTAATCTGCATTGCCATACAGTACTTATAATTTATATTATATCATGTTATAGTTGAATGCATTCCTGGATATGGTACTATCATTTGTTTTATTTGGAGTTTTAGATACTGTTTAATTATCAGTTTTCTTTGTTTTTGGAGACAAGTGCCCCTGTCTTGAATTCACTACACATCTAAGGATGGCTTTGAACTTCTAATCCTTCTTTCTACACCTCTGACTGCTAGGATTGTGTGTGTGTGCCAGCATGCCTACCTGGCGTGAGGTGGTCCTGTTTTGAAGCATATGCTGTCAATGAAAACTCTGTTTTACTGAATTTCAGCTTACAACTTAATGTCACCTTCAAGCATGGGAACAGGGGCTTTCTATATGTTGGACTTAGAGGAGAGGTTTAGGAGGAGAGGAGGCATATGCCTAGTCAGCATGGATTTCAAAGCGAACCAAGACACACTAGAAAGATCAGGACTAGAGTAAAAAACAGTGGGCTTAAGAATGATGTTTGAAACATCTTGTCAGAACCCCCACTTCAGTGAAATGAATTTTTTGTTTAGATTAACTTTATATAGAAACTTTGGAATTGCAAAGTAATCTTTCCGTCTAAGACCCAAAGTTCTATTTGTATAGAATATAACATTTGATCAGAAGTAGGAAAAAAGGGAAATGCACCGTTAAATTCTGCTCATTACATTCTATTTGTATTGCAAACATGTTTCCTTCTCTCTTTGTATGTCAAGGGGACTCAACACATCTTGAATATAGGGATCATTTGACTATGTGTTCTGCAGATAACCATCTATATACCTAACGCAGGTACTGGTCTTTATGTGGTAGAGATATATAGTAGATGTAATAAGCTAAACGTCTACTTTCATGGAACTAAAAGTTAGTAAAAAGTCAGTTATACATAGTGTATGGCAGCATAGATAATATGTAAAACAGTAAATTAGTAAGAAATAGGGACTCCCGGGCCAAGAAGGTATAAGCCTTGCATTGGATGGAGAAGAAAGATCTGTATATTGAGATAGCAGGTCACAAGGAAGCAAGTCAGTGTCACTCCTAAGACAGGGGTGTGCTGGGCACATATGGGAAGCAGAGGAGCCTGTGACATCATCAGCAAACAGGGGACTATCTTGGACGAGAGTTGAAGCATGGGAGGCTCAGCAAAAGATGAATTTAGAAGTGGTGTGACAAGCCAGACAAAGCGACACGTACCAGGAAGCCCAGCCTTGGGAGATGGATCCAGGAGGATCAAGAGTTCAACGTCATCCTCAGCTACATAGCAAGTTTGAGATTAGAGTGGGATACATGAGAACCCTATCGTATTGGGGATGGAAGGTGAAAAAGGAAGAAAATTGGATGGCTCTAACTATAACAAGGGTGCTAGCAGTGGAGCTGAAAATGTTCTGGTTATGCGTGTCAAAGGTAGAGATCAGATTTGATGATGGTTTTGAAAGCAAATAAAAGAAAGGCTAACCCCTGTGTGAATAAGTAAAAACTACGATTTTATTTTCAAAAAATCTGATATCTTAGAATATTCATCTCTCTTCTAAAACTGACATTAGTCTATATGTTTGTGCTTTTAAGTAAAATTTGTCAATTATTCATTGGGATTATTTTTTAAAAACTTATTGATGCTTCTCATTGAAAAAAATTGTGTTGAAAAAAAAGAATCACAAACTAAACACTGTATAAAACATTTTCATGCATATCAAGAAAGAAAGAAAGAAAGAAAGAAAGAAAGGAAGAAAGAAAGAAAGAAAGAAAGAAATGAAGGAAGGAACGAAGGAAGAAAGGCTCAGACATAATCTACATCTGGTCTTATAATTTAGGAGGACAGATTATTTGGGTATCAATGAAGAAAGATATGAGTGGTAGAAATACATAAGGGGTTTTTAGACCTGATATGGAATGATTTAGAGGAGAAATCAGTGATGACACCCCCTCAGTAAGTATTTTCGCTCAAATGGGCCCATTCTATCTTCCTATCTCTCCCTCTGTAATGTGGAAATGAAAGGGACTGTATACAAAAGGAAGGTTAAATTTTACATAATTTTCACATCATAACTTTTTTTTTAAAAAAAAAAAAAGCATTTACATGTAGAAAGACCATTCTTAGGTTTGTCTCAGCCAGCAGGTAAGCCTGACGTGATGTATAGGTCAGTCTGCAGAAGTGCCGCTTAGAGGACCCATTCTGGCGTCATTCACCTGTCCTACACAGATGCTGTAATGAAACTCTTACCCTCTCAAGTTCTTCTGCTGTGAGGAAGAAGTAACATTTGTATCACTGGCTTGTTAGATAACCTAAACCAAGCATCTAAATCGTGCTTGGGTAGCATAAGTAACACCTGTGTTCCACCTCAAGCAATACCCCTGCCAAAATAAAAGATGACACAACAGCTCTTTGAAAATTTTCAAGAGTTTATCAGATTGAGGTGTTTTCATCATTAGGAGACATCTTTTTCATTGTGCATATGATTCTAAGAACTGTAAAATCACTTAAATGTCAATCAGCCTCTTCATGTCTTCTTCCAGTTCTGCATGCCTGGTTTTTATTGATATTTCTGGAATACCTGTGTCATTTTTTCCAGGTGGATTTCATATATGATTATATAAAGAATATTTTTCATATTGTTAATGATTGTGAAGGCACTCTGTATAAGCATTTCTATTAGGACTTCTGAACATACTTGGTGTTTAAAAATATAAAAGTACAAAACTGGATGGTGTTTAGTATAAGAAAACATGATAGGATGAGTGTGTTCTCAGTGCAGTCCAGGTTGCTGTGGATTAAATGTGTATTTGAACACACCTTTTCTTTAATCACATGAATTGATAGCTTCAAATCAATACCAGTGAAGAACGTGACTTCAAAAGTACTGTAAGGATCTGGGTATGCAGCACAGTGTTATGTGTAAGGCCTTGTATTCTCGTGGATCACTAAGACCAAAACAAGTTTTACTATGTCATTCCAAAGATGCTGTGGCAGGCTAGGCACAGTTAGCGTGTATGTCTGACCTTTGCATGATTGCTTATTTACTCCTTTAGCCATCCTATTTGATGCAAAGTTCGGCAATTATGACCTAGCTGATTTGAGCATGTGCAACACATTCTGTTCTGTAACACCACTTGGTTGCTACTTGTCTTTATTTCAGTTAACTCTATCAGTTAGGAAATTACCATTAGTCAAATCTTCTCCTCCCAGGTGTTTATGTTAGTCCACCAGGGGTCTGAGATATTATTCTTTCACAAATGTGTGAGGCTTAGTAAATGTAATTTTCCCAGACCACAGTTTTATCAATTATTATTATTATTTATTAATTACTTCTGGAAGCAGTTTTCCAAATCATGGCTATTGAAGCTTTCACAGGTCCTTATTTCCCAGTAGTCAGAGGTCACAGACTTTCCAGTTAGTGTTGGGATAGATGAGACTATAACACTTAACTCTTGAGAGTGTTAAAAGCCTCATGTGTAAGTTTGTTGCCTGAAGGGAGCCAGATGAGTGTGACTCTTGCTTAAGAGACCAGAAGAATATTAACTCCTGACTGACAGTTTGCCCAGAGGAACCCCAGAGCAGTCTCTAGAGAAGACTGCCCAGGTTTCTCACAGAATCGGTGTAAGTCCCTTGGGCAGTTTTTTCTGTTTTCACAATTTTATTGGGGTATAATTAATTGACAAATCCATACTGCTTTACACATCTGTGATAACTGTACATTGTATAACTGTGATTGAATATGTATGTTGTTAGACACATACATACTTTGTCTCAGTTTGTTCTCACAGTAACTCTATAAAGCTGCCCACTCTATGAATATCCTGAAGCTGAAAGCAACTTGCCCCAAGAATACAAAGCCAGATTATTATCAGTAGATGTGGTTTTGAGTCAGCTGCCTCAGCAGTGCTGGGTGCCAGGACATTGCTGTCTTTAAAATGTATGAGTTTATGCTTAAGTTGTTAAGTCTGTCTGTGTACAGTACTAATTTTGAGTGCTAAGTTAGGACCTCTGGCTTCTAGTACGACTCTTGGGGATCAGATCTTATCATTTGATGATTGCTTCCTCAAAACCTGAAAGTATTGAACTAAACACTGAAAAATGTGTCCTTTCCTCCTCAGGATTTGACACTTTCAAAGAAACTTTGACAAAAAAGGAAGAAAGAATGTTTTCTGTACCTAGAACCTGCAGTTTGATATAGTCCTCAAAGTTCCTTCATGGTTTGCATTTGGTGCTTTCCCTTTCAGTAAGGACTGTTTCTTCATTTGAGCCAGTTTGATACCCTTGAGGTATCTGTACACCTCTACTCTTGTAGGGCAGTCAGGTCATTCTGCCTCCTGGAAAGAAAACATACTTTTTCTTACTAAACAGTTCTGGTTGATAATTTGTTTGAAGTGGATTGTTGACACATTCTTAAGGAAATGTATTTTTTGCCAGGAGTTTATTGGTTCTAAGGTTAAGTTGTCACAAAGGTTCTGCTATCTAGAGTCCTTCCAGGATGAAGGTCCCTGTATCCCTAGGACATCTTGAAAACTTGATCCCTTTGAGGGTTCCAGTGTCATGCATGTATAACTTTTTAATTTTTACAGTGAAGTTCAATTAATTCTTTTTGCTGAATCAACCACTTTGTTCTTGGCTCTTTCAAGGATGATGGGGTTTGGCACAGCATATAGGGAAGGTGGGAAAACCCTAGTGGCCTTAGGAGCTGAGGGTGATCGGAGAGCTTAATGAGGTGTAGGCTCAGCACACAGATAGATCAGCCTGGTCG